GGTCCACTGACCCCATTCCTGGGCTCTCAGATGTCTGCCTGTGATCCCTCAACAGATAAAGTACATTCTTTACTGGGCGTGTCTCCCCTAACAAATAGCCCGCGGTGATGCCTAATCTCACAACAGCTCAGGCCGGTTCGTTTCAGACCACCTTACCAGAGTCATGAACCCCACTGCCCTTTACGGACCTTTAACCTCTTACCTCACCCACCACCAGAGACTTGTGTGCAAGCTGTTCAGGCACCTTGTGACCCGACCTTGTTAAACACCCCAACAGTCGGCCCTCAGAGCTCACACAGGCACTCCTCGTCTGTGTGGCCCGCTGTTGTCTATGGCAGTGCACCCTATAAACTCATTTCCTATTTTCATTCTTTGTCTTTGGTAAACTCTTTAACCACCCACGATACCGTACTCCTTGTCCCCTGACAATCATAACTTTCTGGTTAAAGATACTTCCTGCTGGCCTCAGGAAAAACAATGAAATGGAGCAGGACCCTGTGGGGCCCTCCTGGGTACAAAAGTCCCTCCTTGTCCCCGACTTTTTGTTCGTAAGAAAAGGTTTTTGTCTCCTACGCCTTCCCTGAGTTCCAAAGAGCAGATTCAAGCAGTTACTAATTAGGGAAGTGAGGAAGTGCAGAGACAATGGAAAAGTAGTTGAGCAAGGAAAGTAACGATAGTGATACAGTTCAGTGATAAACAAAGCCCCAGTTCCCCCTCAAAGGATGCACATAAAAATCTGATGCATATCCCTGAGTTGTTCTGCAGAAACTAACACCGTCCCCCCAGGTGGAGGATGGCGACTACATGCTGACCACAAGCACATAGACCCCAGACTGGCTGGAACCAGAAGGCTGATGATTAAGGTTCCTGAAACATCTCCCTATTCCCTCACCACCAACCAATCAGAAGGTCCACAAGCTGCAACCCTCACCCCAATTGTTGCGTTTAAAAACCCTTCCCTGAAAGCCACCAGGGAGTTAAAGGTTAGCGGTAATTATTCACCAAGTTATCTCTTGGATGCCTTTCTGATCTCAGCCCAAATGTCAGTTCCTTAGGAGAGCACTCTCTGATGATCCCCCAGGCTGGATCACGTCCTCCGATACCTGCTCTCACATCATCATGTACTTTGCAGCATGACTTGTAATTATATATGAATAATATGATTGATTTCTTTGCACACTTAAAAAAATCTGATCAGGGTCAATATCCCTTTCAAGATATGAAGTTCCATGAAGGCAGAGGCAGCTGTGTCCCTGGGGCTTGCTCAGCACATAACAGCTGGTCAGTAAATGTCTACTGAATGACTAAGCTTGCGTGGCTTAGCCAACACTTTTCTAGACGTCAGGTAAGATTAATATGCTTCTCCTGTGGAGGAATCCGTATGTCAAGGGGAGCCGTGCCCTGTCCCCCAACTCTCCTCAATTCAATTTCCTCAAC